GCGAGTTATGCCTAAAGTTATGTATGCTCTTGGTTTACATTTATAGCAATGAGCTTATGGTGATAACTTGGGATGTATTTTAAAGTTTTAAAAGCGTAGCCACAACAGTATAGTTAAAACATGCTTTGGCTCAACTGATTAAAAAAAAAATTAAGGGACAATACGTTCCATGTGCATTTTGGCTTTTGTTTGAAATTCGTGTGTGTGGTATGTCACCCTGAGACCTGCCATACGATTTGTGCACACCGTGCACTCACTTCAGTTTTGATAAATTCCACAGAGCAGACAGTTTTTGTTGAACACCAAATATATGCACCAATTTCATTGTACACCAGTGTATGTAGGAAGGGATTTTAAAAAATATTTCAGAAATATTAACATTAAATACATTTCCAATTAAATATTGTTTTTCTAATAACAATTATGACGTTGATAATTTCAAATTTCACACGATAAAGAACTTAACATATGTGATGTGGATATCAAGCTGATTAGACAATCAGAAAAGTAAACAAGCTCCTTGATTAGGGTTGTGTCTATGGCTAAAATCAAGTGGTTATTGTCTGTCTAAAGATATAAGAGCTAATGGCTTCCCAATATTATTTTACTTAAGATCTTCTTATGAGCAGTCAACATATACTATTACATTTTATTAAATGAGACACTATACCTTGTCCGGGCCGAGGAGAGCCCAACAAAACTGCCAGGCCTGAGGCGAGACCTGGGCCTGCATCAGCCATTTCTGTGCAAGATTTTTGTTGTCTATGTTCGGGTCATAGTAAAGCTGATGGAGGGCCTGGGATGGAGAAGAAACACATATTATATATCCTTTACACTTGATTGATGAATCAAAGTTCATTTTGAAGTGTGTGCATTTGACAGTGATCAGGTAAAATGTTGCTAAACCAGGACAAGCAGTTTATGTCAGACATGTGGTGAAGGAGAGCGCATTGACCTGAAAATAGCAGCACTCTCTGAGGTATAGTTCAAAGTAATTTGAGAAGTTGAGTGCAAGGAGAAAGAGGGAGATGATGCCATGAAAAGAAAAACACATGAAGAATGGGCGTGGGAGAAAGGAATAAAATAGAGGCGAAGGGAGCATTAATTAAACAGCCACCTCTAATCCTGTCAGAGGATCTAGTCTGGTCTATGCACAGCGCTGCTAATAAGCCCCTTTTTTGTCTCACAGTCTCCAGCACATGCAAAAGCTCACTGAACTTAAAACCACTGGCAACCGGCTCTAAGCGTCTCTAAGGCAGCAGAGGGAGAAAAATCCATTCTGTGTACTTCTGATTCTTGTCTTTCCCTGAAGCCTGATCACATCAATTCGGCTACAAGCAGCAGTCCTAGCCATCTTTCTATTACTAAGGTTTCCCTCAGGCTGAAGCTGTCCATATAGCAATATACAACACCTTGTCTTCTTGTCAATCTAGCGCTTTCTTAGACACTCTCTGTAACAGGCAAGATTAATGACTATGGTGCAGTCATGACGGGATGGGTACAATGCTGTAGCGCTAGGGATGAATATCAATATTACATCAATGACTGACGAAGGCGGGGAGTGCCAGGTGGTACTCGCTTGTCATTAGCCATCCTGCAGTGCAAGTGTGTCTGTAACCGATATTTAGTGAAAGATTTTTATTTTTATTAACAAGCCCTAAAACTGTGTTACCCATCACCTTGGTGCTGGCTCTGAACATGGTGTTAAGGAGGTTGTTTTAAGATGTGCGGTGCTTAAATTTGGTTAATCAAAGATACAGATAAAATGCCATGCTTCATCTAATATATAATATTTTAAATGAACATGTTATTGACATTTGGTTCAATGTGTTCTTTACAGTGTGGTGCTCCAAACAAACTCAAAAATAAACTGCTAAATAATTTACTTCTTGTAATATTTTTATAAAATATACTGTTCCACAAAGAACTACTTAAAGATTAAATGGAGTACACATGAGAAACAACCAAACAAATGATACACATGAATATAGTTGTGAAAGTTGTTTTGCTGCCCAGGCACCATAACCTTTTTTGTAAGAGACTGTGATATCGACTTCAAAGAAGAATCAGATCATTACTGTGGTCTGCAGTTTGGCAAACCTCTCTGTGTCCAGTTCTGAACTGCGCCATGTCTTTGTCTGCCTGCACCCGTTCTCCTGAGGTTTATTATCAAAGACACAAAACAGTCTGCTCATTTGACTTTAATCTTCTCACAGAATCAGCCAGTCATTCAACAGCCATCTTACTGTAATAACTTCTCCCCTCTATTACGTAGTCTTAATCAATTCATAAACCAGAAAACCAACAAGAGGAGGGTGATCTGTCTGAAAGTCCATGTTTAACCTGGGGATGGATTATCCTCAGGCTGCTTCATCAGGAGAAGGAGACACAGCGGTGTGGTGGTGCTTTGTAGCAGGGTCCACCATCTGTTCATACACCACACGATCGGAGATGGTGTGATTCTATTTCTAATGGGCCCCAGGGGTAACAATGAAGCAGAGATATGTCTTATACTAAATATTAAGAAGAACAATCTACTTATAGTGAAAATTGCAATAAAAGCCACTCTGTTGAAGGCACAGTTAACACAATGAATATCACACACCTGTAATTGTTTGTCAAAAAGGTAAATAGCTTGAGTAAATTTGTTCATGTTGTTGTTTGCCAAAGCAAGAAAACATAATTTAGGAAATGTATAATACAAATAAAGACCGCACACACTTCAAGATCACAATCTCTTACAGGGAAATTGATTGAACGCAAACTACATGAGCATGAAAACAAGAAAGAGTAATGAAACATCACCTATGTGAAAAAGCCAAATTAGTTATTAGTTAATAAAGACTAGTGGGTGGCAAATCACATTTCACTTCATGACTTTTACAATTTTTCTGGCCCACAATTTCATCATTATACAAATTTTCAAATGGTAAATAACAGTATTGACAAAAAGTCTAATGTTTTTTAATAACAAATTTGTAAACTCACCTTCATTTAACATTGTTGGAGCACAAGGGTTTAGTCTCAAGAGAACAATTTATTTGTCAGCAATGCCAAAATGTAATGCATACAGTATAGCCTCTCATTATGCACTGCAGGATGGTGACAATGTGCTACTTTGTTTTAAGAGACGAAGACAGAAGAATTGAACAAAGCTCTTTCTATTTCTACTGGAGCACGGACCACCATCTCGAAAATGTTTTTTCTCTCTCTTCAAATGGATTACAATTTAACAAGACTTTAATCTCATTTGGCCATTTATCTGTTTTAAGATATACTCTGTCTCAACTGGAATCTGGCTTCCTTTCCACAGACTCATCTGTCCCACTAGCCGCCTAACCTTCGCGTCTGAATCAGAACCTGTCCCAGCAACCTTCATACCTCACAGTGCATTGCACACTACACCTCTCTCCAATGTGCAGGCCTCCCACCCTTCTCATCTATTCCCTTGTGCCCCAGCCAGTGGCCATCCAACAGGGACATTTATCACAGCAACCAGGCGCACCCACCAGTCACCAGTGTCACCCACAACGCAGACACTGAAAACCCATCACGGTAACGAGACCAAAAGCATCAAGTTGACAGCACTATCTTTTGGATATTGGTAATGTTTTGCAAACAGACACACGTCAACATAGATAGCCAATCGTATGAATAAACGCATGATCAGACATAATTGCAAACTTCTTTAGAAAATAAATGTGGACCGAGACACTGACCTTCTCTACGTTTTCCACGGTGAAGTCCAGGGCGTCCGGTGTGATGACTATCCTCCCCGGCGTCTCCATATCGCGGACACGGAGCTGTCAAACCATCAAAGACGAGCGGCACATGCACGACCACAGCACCAGCATTAGAGACGTGTTATCAGATTATAATATCCACCAACTGTTCAATTTAAGGCACCGCTGCTGCAAAACACCAACAGGTTCGAGTACAGTTAAATTATGACAACAGATGCTAACCGGCTGCTAACATTAGCTCACTGACACCAATAGAAATGCAATAGCAACAGCTATCTGTGCTAGCGCAACTAGCTAATGGGCATTAGCATTCATATAACTTCGCCGTGACTAATGCAATCGATCCACGCAACTGTATTTGTGAATTGCAAATGTGACAGCATTATAATTACGAATAAAGTCCATGTTTAAAATCCACAAGGTGAGAAAGAGCAGGATTTTTCCGCACCTTTGTGTCCTCCGTCGGTATGAGACGATGCTGGCAGCTCCCAGTCGCCTCCTCTGCCTCTGCTCCGTCATCAGGAGTCTGCGCTCCACCGAACACAGCACCGGGAAGAAAAAAAACACAACAGCTTTTATTCTGTCAAAGCATCTAAATTGCAGAGAGAAAACAATACACAGATGAAAGCAATGAAGATATGGTAATGAATGTTGCATTTTGTTAAAAATGAGAACTAAGACTGCAGCTAATGTTCACTAAAAACTAATCAAAACAATCAGGATAAAAATATTAGGCCTAAATTAATCACACGGAACAGTAAACACCATTTATGTGATAATGCACTTCTTTTTCTGCCTATTCATTTTAATGGGCTGCTATACTGTAATTTTAATTTCGATTTTTGTTTGCAAGATCCCCACATGGCTCTGAGCAGATTTAGTAATGGAGCAACAGCGCCTTCAAGTGTCCTAATAAAGTAACTGCCACTCAGAAGTTCAATAGTTTGTAAACTAGGCTATGGATATTTTGCAAAAGTATGAATACACAGACACAAAATAATAACACTTACAATTTTTGTTCCCCTAAATTTGAACTGATGCATTTAGTAGCTTCGAGGTCTAGTAGGATACTTCTTAAATTACATTTCTCAAGCAAAGTTTTACATAACATACATAACCAAAAAACTTGATATTTTATTTTTGGGACCACAAGCTGATTTTAAATGTTCAGTTTTGGATGTTGTAACTTCTTGTAACGCAATCTATTTTGACCAGAGAACACGTGGCACAGACAGCCGAGGAAAGAGGAGGCGCGCTCAGAGGACGCACAGTTCAGCTCCTGTCTCAGCCACGCAGACACCGGTGAAACTGCTGCTTGATTTTCCGCTACAAAACTCACTTCAGATCATTTTAAAGTGGGGAGTTATACACCCTCAGTGAAAACGAAGAAGACAGGTCGTATTAAAATACTGTAACTTCGGTCCTAATCGTCCTTTGTGTTTGGTTGGAGAGTGCGTAGATGATGGAGCGCCAACTCGAGTTTAAGATATTTGCGCTGCTGCTGCTTGGACTGTCAGCGCTGGCTTCACATGGTAAGAAACGTGAAATAGATATCTACTTTAAGTATGCAGTAATGAATGTTGTCAGACTTACTGTTAATAATTTTATTCAAGCAATTTTTAAGTCGTGTCAAAACTTCCGCATATATATTCCGAATATAAATAATTAGTCCCTTATAAATTATTGAAATACTTCAATCCCATAGCCTAATGTAGAACTATTCGAATGGTTAGAATGTTAATATGTAGAATATGTAAGGCACAAGTAGGCTATGTTAATAATATTTATTTAATTACTTATGTAACTTTAGGTAAGTTAAAGGGGAAAAAAGCACATGAGCCATCCATGGCTTATTAACCAATATTAGTTTCACTATTATTGCTTAGACTTGTGTCAGTCATTTGTTTAAAGTTTATATGTTATGCGAGATACTGTCTTAAGCCCTCAAATTCTCACCTGGCCAGTCAGAACTACACGCTTTGAAAAAAACTTTACAAAGACTAACATGTCAGGCAATCGCTCTGTCTTACAGTTTTGATTCATTGACTTTACATTTTCCTCTTTGGCCCTTGTTTAAACAATAACAATGTGATCCTTCCTCCCAGCCCTCATACAGACTCCAAACATCCTGCTGTCTCTTTGTCACTATATCTCCTCTCACATAATATGCTGCTATAAGTGTAAAATCATCCTTGTGGCATTTGAAAAGGTTTTATCAGGCAGAATTGTCCCGTCATCTCATGCTGCAGCAGTGAATCTGAATAGAAAGCAGTGTGGCTTGGCTGGAGGACATTTATTAGTTGTAAATGAGCGGGAAGTACATGGTGATAAATGGCAGCTCTAACTGCGTGCAGCAGCCGCACTGTCATCCTCCAGATCCACACTAATTGGGCTCCCTCTTTACTGCTGTATTGGATTTTAAAGCAATGAAAGGAGGCTAGGAGGCTTACTTTAAACTGTGGCATAAAGCAGAGATAGTTAATAAAGTCTTGTAACTATGAATAGTATGCAGTCCGTTAAAATTTATTATGGACAGTTAAGTTTTCTTGTTAGGATATTTCTTGGAAAGGCCCTTAGATGAGCTCTATATGAAAACAAAAGACAAATCATGCACATTCACATTGTTTGTGCGTAAAGCATTAATTAATGGTTAGTTAGAGGTGAGTACACTTTTATTTAGCTTACTAGTGCCTAAGGCCTTGTGTGGATATGACTTAGTCTTTTTAAACAACAGTCAGCAGAGTGTCATACATTACTTCTTTTCTTTATTACAGTGAATAAAATTATCACGCCAAGTACCACCTGATTAGGATTTCATGGTTGTATTTGTGTGTGTTATATGAGTGTGGTTGTTGTTAACTACTGGCCTCATGATACTTGTACATTGTTTTAATTGTGTTTTATGCTACAGTTTATAACTGTATTAGTTTCACTACTGTTTCTCATCGTGACATGTGACAATCACCATCTATTTGACTACAGCAGCCACAGAGAGTGATTTGCACTTTTGAAAGTCGTAACTGACATCTGTTTGTGAAGCAACGCTTGGCCCCATTTTCACTTTAGGGTCACGAAGGAGCACACATCCAGACAGAGCTACTATAGGGTGCAATATCTGTGCACTGCAGTGGTAACAGTAGTGTCTTTATTAACCTGCCCACTCACACCCAAACTACCATTACAGGCAGTTAGATGAAAAAACACATCTTCGCTGTTTGACGCAATCCATCTTACTGGCACACTAGCAATTTTATGATAATTAGACATATTTAAATAGTCAATAAGGCATGTGATTTTTACTACTTGTGATAGCACTTATTAATAAGTTACTAAATAAAGTAATTTAGTTGAATACTACACAAATGTAATTTATTTCAGTGTATGTTTGCAGTATCATATTCATTTATTTGATTTATTTAGCAGGGATATTAATCAGCATTTCTGTAAACGTAAAAGAATTAGCCAGAGAAGCTATTTTTCATCTGCAGTCCCTGGACAGATGGTAAACATTGTCACCCTAAAAACACAACAATAAGAGTTCTACATAGAGTTCAAAAAGACTGTTGTGCTCAATGTAGTATCCTTTTGTCCATCTTTGGACCAGGCTGATGAACCTTGCAGCTGATTATGGAAGTAATCAAAGGCTTCATGGCAGCATGTTTCCCAGCAATAATCACATTACTTTGTATCAGAGTTCTGGTCCCTGTCAAAGCAGAGAAAGAATAATTATTTCTACTGAGGCTGGCGCATTAGATGAAAGATCATTGAATTAAAGTTAAACGTGACACACGGGACTAGGCACAGATTTGGTAGAAGACGATGCATATTGAAGTGTATTGAAGCAGACTTTGATTCCCCACTCAGCAGACTAAACCATTACAAAATAAATTAAGTTGCAAGATCGTGTATGAATATATAAGATGACCTTCCACTGTGCAGTAGAGCTAATACTTCTTTGTAACCAGCACTAAACATAGTCCATTAATGACTGTTTAATTGCTACTGTTTGCCCCTCAGATAATGACACCTCTGTGGCACCAGAAAGTCCAGCTGGTCCCAGTTTGGACTTGGCCCTTGAGACTGAGACAGGACCTGAGTCTGAATCTAAACTCAAGAAAAGTGCTACAGTCAGTGTGTCCAACAATAACACAGAGACCAGTCCTACCGGTGGTTTCAATGGGACTACAGTGCCTTTGATACCACTGAACACGTCCAATGGTAAGTTTTCACCTACATGTTTGTTTGTTTTTAAAGTAAAAATAAGTTAGCAGAAAGAAAAGCTGCTGGTGGTTGATAATGAAGCTATATTTAACTGTTTTATCTTGGTGTTGAGCGGGTCACAGGGCCATAGACACACTGAGTGACCGGGTTACAGTGTTGAGAGTCAAAACCACTAACAACACAGCCACAGGCCAGGGGCTATAAATAAGAGAGTTCAAATATGGTGGATGTGGTAGAATCGGACTGGATCATTGAAGTACAGCAAAGTGCAAAAACTATTGATTTTTATCATATTTTCCACTGAAATGTTCCCTGAACAAAATTGTACTTTTTGGTGCGGACTCCATCATCATTGAGTCACTGTTGTTTTGAAATACTTACCTTACAAGATTTGATGTACCAATACTGATACTGCTAACGAATATTGGTGCCAGTCCTGTCAGGGGGAATAGTCATCAACCCTGAGCTAAATATAAAATTGGAGGCACTATAGTATCATGTCAATTACAAAACAGTGACAGCGGCAGTGATTTTATGAATACATTTAGGTTAGGTTGCTTTATTCGTACCCGTACATTTGTTTAGCAGATTTGAGAGGCAGGTCCCACATTTCACCTTTCATTCATCTACATTATGTGTAATAAACACATATTAAAAACACAATTACAAAATAAAGTGTTACAGTGCTTCAGTGCAGAGTAGGTTTGTTCCATAAACCATTAGTTAAATTCATCCATCACACTTGACAAAAAACACAATAAATCTTAAATACATATATAAAAACACATGATTTTTCCAAGACAAACATACTAAAATTGATTGAATAGATTACAATTTATTCATGTATTCAAGTATGATAGCAGCTGGAACAAATTTTACATTACCATTTTTACAACTATATACTGCCTGTTCCTTTGTTCATCCAAATTATACATACTGTATATTCCAATCTTGGCACTCACTGCATGATAGGTGTTAAAAAGAAGACAGGAGTGATTAAATATGGTGTGACTTCTCACAGGGGGATGTGAAAGGTACACGTGAAAACTCCCCCCACACACACGCACACACACACAGACACATACACATACACTTTTTCAATTTGTTTCAATGATGTCATTCTCCATTTACTCCATTTGCAAGTCTAATTGGACAAACTACAGTAAGAAATGTGTTTAAAATTGATGATTTCAGAACACACAGAGCTATATTATAAGTAGATATGTAGTGTGATGATGGTCAGTTAATGCAGTTTATCAAATTCATACTACTTTTTGGACTCTCAAGATGGTTTACAATGTAATAAAACTGAAAAACGAAAGAAATTTGTTTGGAATATTGTAATTTAATACTGCCACTTGTCTGATTTAGAATTTATTAAACATTTGGCATTGACAGTAACTTTTACATTCCTCCTCTTCAGGTACCTCCACACCAACAGTCTCTTCAGCGTTTCTTAATGGAACAAGTTCAGAAGAGCCAACACTACTTCCTACTTCAGAAAACCAAACCTTGCCCACTCAATTTACAACCTCTTCTACAATCACATTAAGCTCAACCCAAAACAATGAAACAACATCTGTGCCAGATATGTCTTCATCTCTGGAAACTACCAACACGTCACAGCCAAATGTTTCCATACATACTGACAATTTTACACCAACAACTAAACAAACTGAATCTATAAGTTCTCCTGTCGCTACTACAACTAGCACTCCAATAACTACTTCAGCTTCCAGCACTACTTCTGCCATTATTACACAAGAAAGAACTCGGGCACCTGCAACCACGTCAAAAACTACATCTTCTGCACATTTAGGAGTACAAAGTGAATCACCAGCCACTCGCAAAGCTATCACGCCATCTCAACTAAATGTCGGAGAAGACAGTAAGTATTGTGTATTATTGAAAACTTTAGTGTTGCTTGTATTTCTCTTTTGCTGTTAACTGCTACAGTATAGACAGGACTAGAAGTCAATTGGCAAGTTAACAAAGACAATGTTGTTGTTTTTTGTTTTCCACTGTCCACAACTTCAACAGGCTCCGTCGCCACCAAGCACTCCACAATTATGGCTCTGTTTGTCCAAGAGACGCAGCAGTCATGGGACTTGGGCAGAGAAAATTCATTTGCTTTTTCTTGTTTCTTGTATCTCCATAGACAAAATCCACTGTGAAGATAACAGCACAATATAGGGATGTCACAAAAAGGGGTGGGGAAATGTGTTTGTAGTATAGTATATAGTATATTCAGACAATGTGAGAAATGCATTGGTTAATTAATGATAATGAATATTATAAACTATACATTTTGCATATCTTCATTTATTTCATGAATATTTTGAGAATTATATATTTGTTTCTGTATGAGGAAATTGCAAATAGTAATTTTAAAGTACATTTGTAGTATGCACCTAAACAGACAGTAGCAGTCCAAAGTTTCTGCCTCTCCTCGTGCGGTTTCATTACTCTATACTTGGCTAAAGGCCTTTTTTCCATTAGACAAGAAACAGAACAGACTATTCATTGGTTTGTGGTTGTTTTGTTTGAAATGGAGAATACAAAATCTCTGAAACCTCCAACATTCTAAAAAGCATTCAGCTGTGTAAAAATATATAAACAGAAAGTAAAAGACAATGATGTTACAATTGTGGAAAACAGTTGGTGCAAAATGTTATTTGTTTAATAATACACTGTCCATACTCCTGTGTTTGTCTTATGTCCAGAGTTATGGGCTAGACTCTTGAACTGCTATACACCCACTAACTGTAGCTCTCAGCCATCTATATTTAGCCCTTTCTGTTTGCACCATATTAAGTCATCAGGTTCAACTTCATTAGTAGCATGGTTTATACACAGCACTGAACCTTTTATTTCATTTTTTAAATGTCTAGTTTGGGTAATATGTTTTCGGGTATACCATTTTGTGATATGGTCCAAACATAGTAACTCCCCCCACTAAATAGAAGCCAGATTTACTTCATTTTAACATTGCAAGATTTTTGTATATTGATGCACTGGTGTTTTGTTTCCATCAGCGTACATTGAACTGTTAAACTAAATACATATGTCCTAAAGGTATTGTTTGTATATTTCAGCTACTATAGTGCATGAGACTCCCACCCTGGACCCCCTGTTGGCTGGTCTGGTCTCAGCCTTCATCATCGCTGCAGTCATCATCACTCTGCTCCTCTTCCTCAAACTGCGGAGGAGAGACACTCGACCTGAGTTCAGGAGACTACAGGACCTGCCTATGGTGAGCATCTGCCCTGCACTTTATTATAGAGCAATTTCAAACTTGAGCAACTAAGTAAATATAAAATATGTTTTACTCATTGACTATAAGTGGCATTTATCTGTTGCTTTCTCAAATTTCAAATCAAAGGAAGTCGGCTCTGAACAACCACAAATCAGTTTAAATTAATTTAGGGGTCATGTATTGCATACATACAGTATATGCATACACTACTAAAATAAGTAAAATACATAGACCAGGGGCCCATTTGCCAAACTCAAAATAAGGAATAGTAGGGATCATTCAAATCTATCACCTGACTGTGGTAATATTTTGTAATATGGAAAATTCTTCATATTTTTCTTTTAGGATGACATGATGGAGGACACACCCTTGTCCATGTACAGCTACTGAAGGAAGCCATATTTAAACTTCAAATACTTGAACTGGGCTTTGTGTCACAGCCATAGTTTTCTCTTCTTCATTTGCCCCACAAGGAAGGGACAAGGTTTATACAAGAATGTGTCCTGATGGAGGAGTGCTAGATGAAAAATAGAGAGGAGAATTATTTTTGCTTCAACCCACTTTGAGTTCACTTGAGTTGGTGATTCGTGAAAGGCGGGCATTTTTGAATATTTGGATGGTTCTTGGCTGAATATTGATTGAATCTAGTTTCTGAATAACTTGGGACACTGTCTTTTGGAGTCACTTGTTTAAAATGTTAACTAAGGTATTTGAGAGGTTAAGTGTTACAGAGTTTGCACTTTATTTTTTCAGGGGTTGAATGAATAAGAACTATTTTTGTGAATGTGATAAATTGAGACTTTTGTGCCTAAATAAGTTCATAATGTGTGTACCCTACGTTTGCTCACATGCTTAATATTTTGATATTTTTGAGGTTTTGTTTTGTATTTCTGCTGTAGATTCTTATTACTTTCATTGCTTTTGAGAGTGCCTTAACATACATAATTGTTCAGCTGTTCCAGGCGACTGAAAAAAATCTCTGTTATCATTTAATTCCCGAGTGATATGTTTGTTTGCCTTATTTAACTGCATCCTGTAATTTCTAAATTGTCTTTGACCAGATGCCCTTAATTTCTTACCAATTTTCCAAGTTTGGGACCAGCACAAACAGTATACTGGTTGTCATTTATGCTGTAAATACTACTGACCAAATGTTAAGACATTGTTGAGATAAGTTATGTTCAAATCAGGCAAAACATTAGGACTACTTGAAATTTAGTAACACATTTGCTGTTGAGCATGACATAAGTATCAATTAACAAACATTTCACTTTTAGATGACATTTGGCTGTAAGCAATAGTACAAAAGATAATGACAAAAAATAGGTCACAAGTCCTGGTTTTGTCCTGGTCTGATGTTTCTGGTGCTTAAGCGCCTTAATATTTGGTCATATTGTTATGCATCTTCTGTGCTTACTAATTTCATTGATGCCATAAACATATTCAGATGACGAATGGGCTGCCATAACCATGTTTCACTGTTCCACATCATTCTTAAAGTGCTGTATTTAATTTCGATCAGTTAACACCTTTGATGATGTGCTGAATTTGTGGTTTTGTTTTGTATTGTACTTTGGTTCAAGATTCTTACAATTAAAACTCTTTGGATAAACTCACAAACATTTAGAACTGATTGATACAACGCAGAATCTTACTTGTGGTTAGTGTTTTATTTGGCAGATGCAGTAAAGTGCAAACATCTGTCTATCTGACCACACAATAGTTAATACAATGTAAGACTTGTTACAAAATACATTGACTACTCAGTGTCAATACATAGTTCAGCCCTTTTTACACTATTGATAACCCACAGTAAACTCCAGTCTGGTCCAATTATGCAGTCAGATGTGGTTAGCCTCAGTGTGTGCGACTCTGCTAACATCTCCCCCAGTGGTCTGCTCCCTGCGGCTCTGAGCTGTGTGGTGGTCTCAATGGGAGATGCTGGAGCTGAAATATTTAACAGCTTGATACGAAGCTTTGCACAGTGTGATTCATGTCATGTACACGGCAGCATAAGGAGCTTCTAGCACTGAGGGCAGGCAGACTACAGGCCCATGTGGAGGTGGATCACGTCATTTAGGACATTCATAGTATCTAAAATGTTTTCAAAATGACAATATGGCATTCCTTGCAATAGTATCATCAACATATTCAAAGGTTAAATACATTTAGTTTGGATTAAAATACAGCTAATGTAGGTCACATGACAACACATGAACTCAGTAGCTATAATATTGGATTCCTCATTGTTATACATTATATATTATAGATTTTGACATTCCGTATAACCATTAAAATATACAGTTACATGCATTATAGCCAGAAACCAACAGCAGTGCTAGTTTCATGCAGGCAAACAATACTAACAATTGGGTAACTGTAGCATAGACATCAGTTGACATTCATTGTATAGTTTTGATTGAACAGTCTGAACTTTCTGAACATAAGAGCCCTTATCTACAATGAACAGTATTGGTGCCGAGGGTGTGTCAGCAAATAAGGCATTATTCAGAGTTTTTAAATATTCATCAAATCCCCCTGAATCCTTGTACCAAAAATAAGAGTATATCTGTAGTTACTTTGGGAAAGATGTATTGCACTTTTTTCAAAGGGAGCATTAAACAATAGGCTATGTTTTTTAATGAGATGTCGGTTCAGTTTGTTTTTACATGTGGAGACAGTTATAGAGCCTTTGTGGTTTTTGACAGTTACCAACGGTTTTTAACTTTTAATCTCGTTGTACCGGCCTACATCTGAGCTGCCAAAAACAATGCTTTGATGTTTTAAGACCCATATTAACTATTCTGTTTGTTTAAATTAGCAAGCTGTCTTTGTTTCACTTTAGCCATAAATTCTTAAAATACATTAACTTCTTAAGTCTCAAGTCATCAAATAGTTTTCATGCAGAAGAAACACAATTCAAGTAAAATACAATGAAGTCACATTTTCAAGTACCATTTCAAATAAATGTATGCATATGCATTCTGTCAGACATTACTTTTTCCTCTTGGAAGACACTGTATATTATGTCATTCATTCTAACTATATTCTTTAAAAAGACTTGTCTTCATTATAGTTCTGAATTTCTCAGAAGAATGACAATGTTAGACCTTTTTGTACATACTGATAAAAGGTATTGGCCTATGGTGGTCAACATACAGTATTTATGATACGCTTTGTTTAAAGATATTCCTTTTTAATACAAACCACTTTAAGACAAAATAAGGTTGTTTTCAACAAAGCAACGCTTGAGAAGTACTGACATAAATACTACTATGTATGAAAAATATCTTCACCACAGTTCTGTCCTTCATTTCTTTATGCAGCACTGTATGGTTGGGTTGTGTCTTGACCACTATTCAAAATATTTACTTCTACTCCAGCATTACACTAAACTACAGCAAAGAGACAGTGGTTTTTAACTGTACCAACCCTTGTCAAAAACTTGAAATACTGCTTAATACATGTGCATTTGTTGCTATGTCTTATCACTTCCTCCTTGCAAGATTTTAATTATACTCTATATTTTGCTTTCACAACTGAGCTTGCCTCTGCTAGTCTTAAAAACCGTTGCATATCTACAGGTCAAAGGTCATTGAGACTCAGGTCAGATCCAAAATCTGGGTCATCATCAACATCATTATCACCATTACCATTATCATCATTGTCATCATCATCATCGTCTAAATCAGAGCCCAGACCGTCCAAGTCACTGCGCCTGGATTTGATGCTCAGTCGTGCCCGAGGCTTCTGCTGCGGAGCTGAAGAACAATAAAAGGAGAGAAGAGGAGATAAAAATGTTATATAAAAATCTTTTACCTGAGTATAGATAGAAAAAGCATGGATTGACCCAACAGTATCCTGTACTAGTTACACAGGAGACAGTTCACTTCTTTGTGTTATTTTATTTTGCTTTATTTTTTAGTTCATTGACAATGGCAATAAAAACTATTCTGACCATTGTGTGCTCATTTAATTTTACTGGATTGGCTGGAAACACCACTCAAAATTCCACTAACAATCATGAGCTGTGTGTTTGAATTACAGTGGTGAAATTAACTGTCTTCAGGTCCCAAAGCACTTTGGGAAACATTCAGGTCAAAGATTGTAATCTATTCCTGGCAGAATTATAAACTTCAGTCCCAGCGGTGACGTAAGTGCCCATTTACATACAAATTCCAGGAAGCATAGGGCTCTCAAGTGACAGTGTAGCTATGAGTGAAGATAACCAACAAATAAAGCTTGAAATGAAGATAAACATTTGTGAATATTCAGTAGAGCAGGGGTCTCCAACCTGTAGCTCGGGAGATACCAGTAGCTCTCCACCCCCTTTCAAGTAGCTTGTCAAGGGATTTCTGAATTATATGTATTGTCCTGAATAAGTAAAATTTGATAAACTAAATGCCTATTACCATTGTACATGTATTATTTTGATGCGCAACATTGTACACTAATAAATGGATAATGGTTCATATTTTATAGGCATCTAACTGTACCTCATTTAAGGCTTGCTGTGGCATTTTAAAATACTAGGTTATTGTGACTGATAAAACTTGTAGCTCTCTGGTATTTTCGTTTTGTAAAGGTAGCTCACTGGAGGAAAAAGGTTGGATACCCCTGCAGTAGAGGTTAATATAGAAAATATAATAAATGTTTAAGTCAGTGTGAGGAAACACATTTAAATTCCTGCACAAATTCATTGAAAATTGAGAATTGATTGTAACCTACATACACTGGCAAAATACAATCACACATATTGTATTTTTAATAAACTGTAGTGAGTCAGTTGTAATGACATGAATCAAGGGGACACTGGGGCAGATGTGTGGGGGAGGACGGGAGGGGAGCGTACACGTCTGGTCTTGTTAAACAGTCATCACAGTGAGCCCATCTGGTGTACCGACTTAACATTTACGGACAATGAGCCAAAATATAAATGGTGTTCATGCCATTACCAATCTTTGTGGACAGAAGGCATGTGAACATTATCTAATTCAAATCAGACTCAGCCGTCTGTACTTTGAACTGTACATATTTTGCATCTACTGTATAATGTTTGACTGTATGACCCAAGTTGTAATCCTATGTATTACGTTATATTAGATCACCTTAGGGTTTGTCCCGTTTGGCATTTTGCATTTTAATACATTAAGTATGGTCTGGCAATCCCCTAATTTATATTCATGTGTTATTGTGTATATTTTGAGACAGTGATTCATACAGAGCATGATAAAAAGTGTAAGTATGTGCACATCACTGGTGCTTGGCTACTACAGTGAACAGAGAAAACGAGACAAAGCTTGCACACTTACTCCCAAATTTAATGAATGACCTGAGGAATGATTGAACAGAACGCTGTCATTCATTAAATGCTGGCTTTGTCTTGTTTTCTATTAATTAACACAATATCCTTTTAGCAAATTTCTCACTTGGATCATGCTCTTCCAGCCATGACAGGTCATCCGAGCTAATTTCAGCTAAACTTGGTGTTGGGCTGAAGTCCTCTGAGTCAGAGTCTGCCTGGAGCCGATCAACTCGAGCCTTTGGTGTGTTTTGGATGGGAGGGATTTGAAGCAGTGGACTACCTGAATAAAACAAAGAAATGTTGCCTAGTTAAATGCAGTACGAATATTCCTCAACTTATTTCTGCATTTTCCGGGTTTATGCTTTGTTAAATACACACCAGTTGAGTGAATTGACAACAAAGGACTGGGCTCACGGTCACGTAGGACAAGATTTCTAACCTCATCCTTCAGCTCTGAAACTGTTGCTCTGTTTAAAATAACATGTAATCAAAGTTATTTTGAATATCACCAAATCATATACTGGGGAGGGAAAAAATACTGGAAAAGCAAATTAAGTGAATAATGAAAATTGATAATTTTCCCATTTACCTGATCTGATGAACTTCTTGTTGTGTGTGAGAATACTGAGAGGCCGTCTTTGCCAAATCTGTGCTGTGAATCCTATAACTGTCTGTCAGCTCCTCCAACGTCTGATAACAGCACACAGAGGCAAACAGTTGAGACATAAAAGCATTGCGTCCACACATTTGAATAATGTAATGATTTGAGTGACATGCAGCGTACCTTACAGCTATGCTCGTACTGCCGCCTGCTCTCTCTTGCTTCTGTCTGCTGGAGGAACGCGTCCTCCTCGTGCCGTCCTGTCAAACACCAAAGCAAATGTTACATACCAGACTAAGTGTGTCCGCAGTTTTGAAGAGTAGTTTGGACATGTGCAGTCTTGCAAATCTAGGTATAATGAATAATATTGTCACTCACTTAGCCTGGTTTTCAGCTGCTCCACCTCTTTGCGCAGGTGATCCACCTCTTCTCTACGAAGTTTTGAACTGAAACTAAAAATAAATAAAACAAATGTGTATTGTAAACTTATATGATGAAGTTCACATCATACAATCATATCATCATCATATCATAATTCCTCAGTAGGCTAATCCCCTATCACCCAATTTTCTGTGACGAATTCTGATCTTACCATTATATTCAGGCAAATTCTGTTCTGAGTAAAAAAATATCACTGTAACAGCATGTGACTGTTCTGTAGCAGGATACAGGAGGCATCCAAAACATGCCAAGGATTACATGGTACTGGCCTATTATAAAGAAACTCTTCTCAGAATTTGGCATTTCTTTCACATAAGGATTTTGATGTGACTTCCTGGGTATATATCTACCTTTCAAAATCATGCATTTCTCCACTCATAACACACTGTGATTTGTACCTCTCTTCCAATGACGTTGTCCTGGTGATGTGTCCACGGAGACTGCTGAGCTCACGACCCACTTCCCTCCTCCACTGCTCCATCCTGTGCTCAGCCCCTGGACTCTGCTCCTGCCACAGACCCTCTCTCTCCCTCAGGTCCTCACGCAGTCTGTGCACTTCCTCTGGGAAAGTTAAGGACAAAAGACTTTTTTTCCATCTGGCAGCATTGGAGAATAGTGATTACCCAGTGCATAATTAACAGTGTTTTATAGTGGGGTAAGATAGCACTCCTATGTCCACTTGCCTATCAAACAAATTAGAAAGCATTGTTTCAGATATGTGTTTTTAATTAGAGGGAGCTGATATCAATGTATTCAAGAAGTTGCTGAAAGAAGTGAGATAGGCACAGAATGAGAAAGTTAAATCCAACTGAACTTTGGTGAAAATGCTTGGACAATATTAACTTTCTTGCCTTTTCAAAGCTATTAGTGTGAGAGTGCAAATTTTAAGCAAATTATATTAAAATGCATTAAGAAATATGATGAAATAATAGTAGAGAAGCCAGTGTTTATAATCATGGGTGTCAGTGCCATTTTCTCTTTTGTCAAGGGATTTCATATCAAAATGACCTATCTTAAAATGAAACTTTTTCACAATGGTGTCAATGAGAGAGGGGTGTGTCACTGCACTTCTGATACAATGAATGACCCAGAATAAAGTTAGGATGACAATACCTTGTAACGATTGTATTAGGCACTGCTGTGACTGCTTCTCTCTCTCCATGTCATACAGCCTTTTGGTGAGAGACTCTATTGCCTTAGAAAACACATTGTAATTATTCCATATTTATTACACATATATTAGAAAGCCAAATTGCATTTTCCACTGTTAAATAATTACACACCTGGCCCTGTATCTGAAGTTGTGACTGGATGGAAGCCAAGTCGGTCCACTGTACATCATTTGGACTGACGGGAGTGGAGAGTTGTCTGTGAAGAGGGACTCGGGCAGGTAGATCAAATTTGGATTTGTCAAGTTTTTCTTTCACTGGAAACAAATCTAAAAAAAATAAATAAATACACGCAATTATATTATATTGCCAAACAACTTACATAGCTAATACGAGGAGTGAATTTTAAACATCACACGCACCTTCTCTATTTGAATATTTATTACTTGTCAGTCGCTCCTGTTGAATAAACAAATCAGATGAATGACAATAAAATCATAACAGAAAGAACTGCTGCCATCTAGAGACCCTTTTACAAACAACTGCTTTCTTTTAGTATACCCTTTAATAACAATTAAGCATTAACAATAAAGGGCCTTTGTTGTTAATGCTTAATTGTTAGCTTCCCCTGAACATAACTATACACTTACCCTCATTTTAGCAACGCTGCTGTCTGCTACTGATAGGATAGAGTTCAGTTGACTGTCCCAGTTCATGTCTCTGTTAAAAAATAAAAATATAAAGTCAGAGGAAGTCACAAAAAAGCTGTGAATAGATTATCCTACTTTCCGAGGGTCTTTGCTGTGGTCTTTGCATTGTAGCAGTAGGCTGATAGAGTAATTTTAGACGTGTCTTGTGGCTGACTGTGGGAGTAACAACCAGGCTACGATCTATGACACCTTGACAGAGATTATATTACCACCATCTGACTCATTTTAGAAATTGAACCACAGCTGTTTATTGAAAGATGTGATCTTTTTGAGTAAGTTAGCCTAACGCCGAATGCAGGGATTACCGCATTATCCTCTCTTGGGATACAAACATCCTAACAGGACATAATTACGTAGGCTATAATTAACTTATTAAGTTACGTTACGAACATAACATAGTGCTTGGTTAAAGGTTTAGGCTATGATTGCAATGTGCTAATTTCAGTGAGCGTTGGGTTAGCAGTAGTAGCAGTCAGCAAATGGCAGGGAATCATAGAGGAATGTAGAAAAAGAAACGCAACCAAATGGGGCAAAGATCATGCAGTTGTCTAGTTGTTTTAAAAAGCAAACAGTTTTGAGTGAGCACAATATCAACAACGATTATTTATGTGGGGTACTTACCAAAATCGTACATCCACTTTTAAATTCAGGAGCATATAAACAACAACGTGATTACGTATTACGTACGGGCGATGTGCTTGCTGGGTAAAGTAGTTCATACGGAGCATGTTATTTGCTTTATGTCGAACTTTGCGTGCATTTTCAGCAATATTATAGCACATTTTTGTAGATTACTAATTGTACTAACATTAATTTGTTCTGTGAAGTCATCTCTCCGTACAGCTTTATTTTATGTTGACTCTCCATAATCAAACAACTCATATCCCACAATGCACAGTTTTAATGTGTGTACTTCTAGCTATGGCGGCGTCCACTGTCAATGTGGAAAATGTAATCAAACTTCTTCAAGAGTCTCTTTGTAAACTGGGGTTTGAAGTAAAACCTTTAAAGGTAAGATATTCGACAAATACAATACACGCTGTTTTATTTACTATGTTTACTTAAACCAGTATTTAACATTAAATTAAAAGTATTTAGGACCTAACTAAGTAGTTATGTAGAAACTTGTCTCTTAACTTTTTTTCTGGCGTTTCAGGTTGGTTGGTATAATCATGTGCTGCCTGCCTCTCTGCACCTGTCCTATCCAGAGGACACTCTTGCTGTTGTGGTGCTCAGTACTCCTTCCATGTTTGAACTTGCTTTTTTGCCATTTCTGGAAGAGCAGTCCTGTCAGGGGCTGTCTGACCCCATAGACCAGTGTGTGAAGCACTGTGTGTCCTCCGCTGTCTCACGGGTGAGCGAGATTAAAGGATAACATGTTATACATATCTATTATTTTATTTTATTTTTTTGTCAATTGTTTTAGTAATTTTTTGTGGCTGTTTCTTTTCTTTTCTTTTTTTTCTTCCTATGTCATTTCCAGAGTTTTTCAGATCGTACTGTTGCTGTAAGATATGACTATGAGCTGTTTCCAAGTCGTAAACCAAAGTTCCTGGCACAAACTGCAGCCCATGTCTCAGGAGCAGCTTTCTACTACCAACAGTCTGATGTCCCGGAGCAGCCCTGGGGGGAGAAGGTATCTCTGTGTGCACAGCTCGGACCTTTATAACTTTTGTTCCCAACCTTTACCTTTGTATTTTTTGTCTTTGCAGAAGATGTATGGAGTGTGTGTGCATCCACAGTTCGGAGGCTGGTTTGCTATCAGAGCTTTGCTGGTGTTTGAAGATGTGACGCTAGGTCCTGAACTGCAGCAGCCTCATCCACCCGACTGTGTGCCCTCCAGAGAGGACAGGATACGTTTACTGGAGGCTTTCAACTTTCATTGGCAGGTAATGGTCATCTGTAGTTTTATCCTGCACAAAAAATGGCATTTCATTTTTATATTACAACACTAATAGTTGTTAGCTGAAATTTAAGACCAAATCGTGATAAAACTGTATTATACATCCATAGCACATGACTTGACCATTGGAACATGCATCCTATGTGTAACGAGATTATGTTGTTCTGACCTCCAAGAGCCACTGGAACCCATCATAACACACGGTCATTCATCCCCATTCAGAAAACAGGAACAACAATATAGAAAAAAGAAATACATAAATTACTTAGTTTCCAGTCAAATAATGATCCCTAATACATTTGTAATGTTTTGTGTTGCATTTACACCATTGCAGTTAGCAATATTTTGTAATTCTCATTTCCACTTTTTCCATTTTATCACGGTATAGGACTGGACTTACAGAAACATCATCAGCCCAGTCCAGATCTACTCAGAGAAACAGAAGGACTATTTCAGCACTCCACCTGCACAGCGTATTGATCTTTTAAAGACCTGGGGATTTCTACAGAAAGACAACTCTGAAGGTGAACCGACTTCAGACACACAGAGACTGGCAAACGGGCATGGATGACCTGTGGGAACTACTGCACTGACTACTGCACTACCCAATATAAGCACACAGAAGGGAATCGGGTATGGAGAGAGAGTTCAGAGTACACTGGATTTTAGAAAAGTAGATTAACTATTATGTTATGTCCCTTTCACACCACTCTGTTTAACAGTATACTTCAATCATATTCAGGGCTTTTTAAATCAGGCACTTCTGCTTCTTCTAAATAATATGTTGCCTTACTTGTAGTCTTGATATTGTTGCAGTGCATCAGTGTTTTCTTTTCAGGTTTGCTTGATTGTTCATTGTCATTATAGACTGCATTGATCCAATTGCAGGAGGCCAGTCTTTCACACTCCTAGCTTGTTTCATTATAGTTCTAAACTGCTTCTGGTCTGCTTCCTTGTATAATTAAAGACCAATAATGCGCAAAATGCGAAATGCCAAATTACTGTTTGTTAGGGTTGACAGATTTTATTCATCTGTCCAAATATAATCTTTACACTTGACATGCACATGTAAGGACTAACCAGTAGATGTCACTGTTGCCCTCATTATCGAACGGGATCTTCGGCTATGCAACAAAATCATCACCGTCATCAAGTATAACGTCTAAAGTTCTGACTCTGCCAATAAAATAATTATCAAACAATTTACTTATTGTGATGCTTTTCAATTTTGTCCCTGCGAAACAGCTCTTGGTAACAGTTTTTTTTGTCCTTAATGATTAAAAGTCCTGCATTTAGTGAGATAGTTCTGCAGTGTTTGTGTCACATTATCTTCTCATTGCACCTCATCTTGCTCCTCTATTACTGCATCTCCCCTCTCAGCCCACGCCCCTCTCCGGTGCTATTCTGTCTATCTGTGTACTGAATCAGCATTTCAGAGCCGTGTGCCGCAGGCTGCAGAGAGACAGACCATGGAGTTAATTATACCCCCACCGATACTTTGGCTCCATCCCACTTCTGTGTTACTTCATATCTCACCTTTCTACTACCTTAAACTGCTCCTTCTTGACGTTTTACTTCATTGTTTAATTTAGGTGTATTTTATTGCTCATTGATTTCTTAATGCACAAAACTAGGCAACAAAAGACACAGCAGCAACAGAAACTTTGCAAAAGTGCCCTCTTTGCAGTTTCTCCACTTTGCTGATCTTTGAGGTATGGTTTGATGCAGGGCATTGTTGAGGCTGGGAAGTTATAGAAGATTGCTTATTTCCTCTGCCTGAGTGGAAAGCTGGTTTAAACCCAATTTCCCCCAGGGGATGCCCTGTAGTTGGTCAGGTTGTAAACTTAAGTCTTCTGCAGTTGTGCACATTTAGTTTCACAGCTGAATGAGGTTTGGAGAGTCGTAGTACATCCAGTGGGAGGGGGCTCCCTGACTTCAGGATCCTGCAGGATTTCTGTACAATGCAGCTTGACTCTTGGCACTGCTGCACTGCTCTGTTGCAGGACTGCAGAGGCACCTGTGCTAGTCTCTGTGAATAGAGAAAGGAAATGTGAAATACGTAGTTTAGGAGGGACTGGAGAACATGCAGCATTGTTGTAATGTTGTAATAATAGGGTAATATAACAAATATAGCTGGAGAATCTCTTGGTGTGAAAAGCTTTTACTTTTTCTGCACTATCACTTTTATCCAGCTAGTTATAGCTATATTGGTTTGTTTGGCCAATCCAAAACATGGGTGGTTGCATAAAAGGAGCAACTGGTCATAGAGTGACTTATTACTCACTCTTAGATGTCTCCGGTTAAAAGTATAAATCCCTTACTCTTTATTGAAAATGAACAGGTAGCCCAATTTAAACAATATTGTTGATGTTTTTGTGTAGTGAAATTAAGTATCCCCACTACAAAGGCAGTTGGAAATTAATGTTAAAATAAAACATTAGTCCAGTAATGGGCAAAGCTTTATTTTAAAAGCTACCACAGTCTTATAATGACATTTGTGCACAACAGGCCTGTTTCTGTGGAGATGAAACAGAGAAAAGGAAAAGCTCAGTGTTCCAGAGCAGATTCAGTCGTGGATGAGTGAAGCAGCATTATCCGCCCACAGACATGAGTTAACAAGAGAGCAGCAGAAAGGCCAACAGCAAACCAGCTACAAGAGAGGAACCAGAGCACAGTGGAGGCGGGGGATGCCCAAAATCTATCTGCAAATGTGAGGTCTAACTGGTATTAAAATACTTGCCAATGGAAAATGTACTGTACAGTACTGTATTGTTGAAGTAGTTTAGTAGTTGTTGTTGGGACTAATAGATTTTATTTTTATGTTATTACTTATTAGAAGGAAAATGATATAACTGGGCACTCATTAAGTTGTTAACTATTGAAGTAGAACTACAACTAAAAATGCAGCTGTAATTTTTTCTCCTGAATACCAGCTCAGTATTTTTTTTTTTGTCTGTATCGTACTCAATATCTGCGGCTGCAAGTTTGTCTCCAGAGGTTTAAATTTTTTAAACCCCACTTCTTATCAGTTTCTTGGATTAACATAATTAGCCAGTTTCGTTTGTAACCATAGTCTCATTGACTTTCAGTCTAATGCACGTGCAGTGGTTGGTCACCCAAGGACACAAGGGTAGACTTCCAATTATCATGTTATCAGACTGGATCAGGCAGTTAAGACGGACATTCAAGCTTTGAAAATGCTCTGAGTGAGGTTTATGTAAAATGACTTTGCCACTTTAAGATAACCACAGATGTTTTTAAAATTATTTTCAAATAAAAAAAACTAGTTTAACATCATATAATATAGCAGATTTAGATGTAGGCAGAAGTAGTATTCAGAAGTAGTAATCTGTGGTGCTGCCTTAATGTATTTTGTCCCTCTATAAGAGTTTGTGTAAGTAAACATCATCTTTTGGGGAACAACATCATAACATCTCTTTCATTGTCAGCAAAAAAAAAAGGGTTGTCTTGGAACAGGGGTAGGATTAGAGCAGGCTAAGGTTTCCCATAATCCTTCATTTTAGATTAGAGAGTCTCCTGAGAACATGATACTGTGAACTGTGAAATCGAGAAGTATGGCCTATGATTCAAGTCTGACCTTTTATAACTTCATAAGGACTTATAGACCTGAAAATGGAAAATACTTTGTTCCCCACTAATCACTCCCTTTGGCAAATATATATAAAATATTATCTGTGCCCCTGTGATTTTTCCTCAAAATATTAATGGTTTTGCTTAGAAAATTACTTGCCATTGGTTACCGTTACTACTATTATTATTGAGATTATACTTCTGCTAATGCTACATCTGTAATATAAAACATCTTATTTAATCTCTTTAAACTGTAAAGTAACAATTTTACTTTTTGTGCCCCCCTAATTTTTGAAGCCTGACTAGAGGTGGAAGGAGGGGCATCTTTTATACAAAGGAAAGATAATGTTTAGAATTAGCAGTGACATAGCATATTCATTTCTTGTCAATGTTAGGGGAATTTGGATATTTAAATCTTCAGCCGCTCTATAGATTTAGTATTTATAATTGCAGAGATTTGCTTTGCTTAGTGTTTACTGCAATCCCCTGTCACTCACATGTCTTGCGTGCTACTGTGGCACAGGAACACATGGGGCTAAGGACTAATTTATGGCTATGCATTAAGTATTACATCACAGAGTAACAGCCCTTTCAACTCTAAATCTTCCACTTGGGCCTCACCAGCCTTCAGTGAATTTGTTGTGGCCCACTCTTCTGTTTCATTTCTTCATTCAGATGTATGACAATATATTGGTGTCCCTTGAGGTTTTTGCATCATGTCTGCCTCTACTCTGAGAGCTACGGCTGCTGTGGGGTGTTGAGACCTGAATAAATATTATGCTAATTTTCGGCCACTATTGACACTGTGTATTGTGCAGTGGGTGAGGCATATAACTAACATTTGACTTACACATGTTTTTGACTTGATGACTTGATTTATACACTCAGTCCATTAATGAATTGAGGTAATTTAGGGATCTAATATTAAAATTTAGTTTGGCTATCTCCCTTTTCCTTATTTCTGTCTAGATCCAATCTGCTTTGCCAGGTCCATTTTTAAAGGGAGAACAATTTACATATTTTCCACACATTTTCATTTTCACCATTATGACCCAGTTTCGAAGTAATTATTACTTTATTAATTAGGGTGCATAATCGACACAACTCTGTGAATGAGAAATTGGCCATTACAGCCTAACAAAGGCACATGCACTTATTATAGCTTATTGACTGTGTGACTCTGGACTTATGGTGTATGTTTTGGATTAATTGGGAAAAGAAGAGTGCGAACCTCCTAGCTGTGAGGCAGAAGTGCTCAGCCAGTTTTATTTGGGCCAATTCACCAAGACGCCAGAGGGCCAAGTCGACATTACTTGGATCAGTACTTTGTGTGTGACCTTTAGGTAACACTAAGGTCGCAGTGTTTAGTTGCAGTTGAATCAAGAGTCACCTGACGCTATTCTCTGATTGGCTGTTTAGCGTTGGGCAGTAAGTGATCACTACCAAGTAAAAAATCCTGTGTAATGGAGATGGAGGAGTCCAAGTGCCACAAACTGAAATATTAACTTGTCTTTGGTGGAATTTCATTGGAGGAGAATAGGTATGCCACAATGTGTAACTGTAGTGTCAATATTTAAGATAAGGGTCTGTCATTATAGATACAAGTAGTTATCATAGTAAAATCTTGTTGAGCAGATGGAGAGGTTGTCCTGGTCCATGGGCCAATCTGAGCCACATGTTTAATTTAGGAAGTAGAAGAGACCAGAGTGCCAATGACATACCTATTGTGTCACTGTGTTCTTATGAGAATTATTACAAATCATTGTCACTTTGCATGAATGGAGCAAAGATGTATTCTAAAATTCTCCTTTGAACAATCTTAGAATAATGCAGTGCTATGTATAATCGCTATTAATTATAAAATTGATTAATCCTGACATTCCTAAGGAGATATTTCAGTATTGTGTGTGACAGCAGGACGCACAAATTCATTAGGCATGGATTGACCTGTGCTGACGAGCAATTTAGTCTCAAACACTCAGGCACCTGCGGGGGACAGGAAATTAACATCTTAAATAGGGACCATTATAGGCCAGACCATTTATGTGTGTCTTCAGCTACACACACACACACACACACAGAGAGAGAGACACACACACACACACAGAGAGAGAGAGACACACACACACACAGAGAGAGAGACACACACAGTTACTATAGACATGTTTTAGTATATAGTAAGTTTATATAGTAAGAGTATGGTAGATATTGGTGTTTTCTAGCATGTGAAATATTGACATCACATTATGCTCTTCTCCCACGCTTTGATGCACTTTTTATAAATAGTGCGCTCGCTGCTGGAGAGGCCTTTAAGGGCACTACAACGCAAAGAGCCACTCATGTCCGTACTCCTACATTTAGCTGTAGCAGTGCTCGTCTGGTGAGGATCTGAATCACGTTGAAATCATCACAGCTGCTTCAGAAAGGAAAATGTTTAAGATAAAAGAAAGACATTAGAACAAAAGTTATGAGGTGTTATCAGGTTAAAGTTAAAGTTATAAAGTGCACATGGATCGTCCGCCACATGATTGTCTTTATGGAGATGTTGATGTTTTGCCAAGAATGTATAGCAATAAATTCAATGGAAACAAGCAAGCAATGCTAACAAGCCAAAT